TATTGTCCATTTCTGAAATCTTAGCATGAATCTACTGGATTTCTGATTGCAGGTTTTGTGTTGTTTCAGAATTTGCACTGATTTTGTTTGTTTCTTCTTATAATGTTTTAATGGAGTCTTCTAATTTTTTTCCTTTGTTTGCCTTGCTCTGTTTGATCTTTCTGTTAATTCTTTGAAGATACCTAAACATCACTCTTTCTGTTAGAGTCAAATGAGAGAAATGGAGAAATGAGACAGCGAGTGGGCTCAACAGCAAAGACAGGTTTATTGAAGACAAACCTGGGAGGGGCTTGCTGACCAGAATCAGAAGCACTCACCCCACAGGCTGAGGGCTCTAATGGGGCTTGCTGGGGGTGGAGTTTGGGAGGGGCTAACTTTGGGAGCTTGGAAAATTGAAATCTACAGAGATTTAAGAGTTATGGTGGTTGGTCTCAAAATGGCTGTACTTGGGCTCCCTCACTTCTGAATTATTTTTCAGTAAGTTCCATCATGCTTTATTCCTCAGAAATATTGACCATTTGTTTGAGCCATTCTCTTTCTTTTTTCCATGGCTTATTTAAGTTTATTGCATGAAGGAGTTACACTAGTCCAAGTTAAAAGTAGACCACAAACAGCTGCATTATACAAGCTGTGAGGTTTTAAACTTGTGGCAAGGGACAGAAGGAAACTTTCTACTCATTGTAAGGAAATCCTCACTTAAGCTTCAGTGAATCACAAGCACTTAAAACTCATGGACCTTCAGCTGGTTGTCCTTAGCCAGGCCAGTGTCTTCAAGGAACTGGGCTATGTTCTTGCACTGGTCATCCTGTAGCTGAATTACTTCTCCATATTCTGGATGTTCAGTTACAGTACCATTGCAGGCAAATGTCTTCTTCAATGCCTTCACTCATTTCTTCTTATCATAATCATCAGCGATCCCTTGGACAGTAGTAAGGGTCTTCCTGCTGCTTCTCTGTTGAATTCTTATATGAATATAAGAATTCAATGGAGGAAGCAGGTTGTCACCCTTACTTGCATCAGCAAAGGGGTTGCAAGAGTGGAGATTCTGGATAGCAGACATATGACACACTTCCTTTTCGTTGGTGCAAATGGCCTGATGAAGTTGGTGGCAGGAGAAGGTGGTTGGGAGGGGGGCAGGGCATCAGGAAGTGAGGGGGATTCAGGGGGAGGCTGCTGAGTCCTCAGTGGTGGCTCAGTGACTGGGGCTGAGTCATTGTCTCATGTTTCCTCCTGTGAGTTAAAATTCTCTGTTGTCTCTGAACATTGTGTTGTTGTTATTAAGTGCTGTGGAATCATATATAGCGACCCTGTATAGGGTTTCTGAGGAGTGGTGGGTGAGTTTGAACTGCCAACCTTGTGGTTCAAACTGACCTTGTAGTCAAGCGCTTATCCTGCAGCTCCACACCAGGACTCCTGGTGTTGTTGTATTTATATTTAAATGGTGACTATATGCTAATGTGTCTTAGACTCTCACCAACTGTCTCCTCTGGGTGTAGTTAGAGAATGAAAGGATGTGCTGTTTTCCATTTGTTCATGAACCTCAGTTTAGGGTGATTTTGGCTGGTGGTGTGCCGGGAGCCAGCCCCAGCAGACTTATTCCAGGGTTTTTCCAAAAGCGTATGCGGCGTCGGCGGATTACGGAGTCATAGGCCATAATAAATTCAAAATCTTCTCATTACATGCTTTATTATTATTATTTCTATGGCTACTCTAATACTCTACTTCTCTCATTCTTTACTGTCCCGCTCATTCTTTACTCCCCTGCTCTCCTGCTCATATATTCTGTTTCCTTTCTCCCTTCCCCTGGCTCCTGCTTCCCTTCTCTCCTCTCCTGCTCCCCTCTTCTGCTCCCTTTACTAGCTTCCATTCTCTCCATTACTCCCTCTATCCTCCCTCCATTCTTGTCTCGTCTCCTCTCCATCTCATATTCCTTCTTCTCCCCCTATTCTTGTCACTACTACTACTACCTCTCTGTTCTGTCTTACAACCCCCTTATATACCATTACAGAAAACATTGCATTCATAGTAATCAATGACATCAAGGTACAATCTATCTTGAGGCACATTCCTTATGGTTTACAATTCTTAAATTTACAACAGGGATGAGAAGTTACAGCAAAAACATTATCTCAAGGCATAGGAGACATTCAGGCGCCTTGAAACCTTTTAGTTAAACATTTGTTCATACATAAATCTATTCTTTTCTATGGGAAACAAGTTAACCTTCACATATTTCTTAACCTTTGTCTGTTAAATCTTGTTAATTTTAGTTGTTAGGTGCAATTAACTCTCCATTAACTTCTTCCATACTCTATCTGTTTATAGCCTACAAAAACACTTATCAGGGAAACTGAGGTTATGAAAAACAACTTCTCTAATTTACTGATCATTAATTTAAGAAAGTCTAAGTCAGACTTTTTATTTAGTATCTGTATATACCATACCCTTTATCTAATTGTTTTTAGAAATTCTTGTACCCACAGCCCTTATTGGCTATTCAAGTTTAGGATTCTTTATTGCCTTAAACTAAGGCTACAAGGAAGAATGTTTACAATCACTAAACCTAAGCTGGCAGGAATTCAATAGACAAATCCTGTCTCCTAGCAGTCTTAAGAATGTTGTTAATATAAGTATTAAAACTACCTATGATTACAAGTAGAATAAAATGTAGCTAATGTGTGGCTTCTAACTTTTAATGAAAATATACTAAAGTGTAGGAGAGTCAAAAATCTAAAGTAAAAGGGATACTAATAAAATCATGAATAATTCGGAGAATGATTTAACAAGAGAAAAAATTCAACTAGGGGTCTGTGCATAAAAATAATAAAACAACTCTTTGTGGCTCTGCCATCCAAAGAGAGAAAGAAAGAAAGAAAGAAAAAGAAAAAGAAAAGAAAGTATTTCATTGTTGCTTTGCAAAGACAATGAATTCTTCATGCACAGGTTTTCCCCATGTCTCATTTATTTAATTCCTCGATTAATATGTCCCAATTTATTTATTTTAATTCCTTAATTAATTATGGCCCTGGCCAGTGTTGGCTGCTGTCGTTGATCAGATGGTATAGGAGGAGCTGGTATTGGTTCTTGCTCAGTGAGTGGTAGTGTTGGAGGAGAATATTGAAAGTGCCATGGGCTGCCCAAAGAACAAACAAATCTGTGTTGGAAGAAGTACAGCCAGAGTGCTCCTTGGAAGCCAGGATGGCCAGACTTTGTCTCTCACATTTCGGACACATTGTCAGAAGGGAACAGTCCCTGGAGAAGGATACCATGTTTGGTAAAGTGGAGGGTCAGAGAAAAAGAGGAAGACCCCCAACGAGATGGATTGACACAGTGGAAGCAGCAATGGGCTCAAACATAATAACGATTGTGAGGTTGGCTCAGGACTGGACAGTGTTTCATTCTGTTGTACATAGGGTTGCTATGAGTTGGTACTGACTCTATGGCACCTAACAACAACAATTTTTTGGTGAAGTTTCAATTTGTATCTTTTTTACATTTTTTCCAATTCTAAGACTTCTTTCAATATTCAGATATGAATTCCTTATCAGATATACCAGACTCTGTGCTTTTAACCACTCCTCTTTGCTATGTTGAGGGGAGTGTATGAGGAAGGAGTCCTGGTGTGGCATTGTAGGATAAGCACTGGCTTGATAACTGATAGGTCAGTGGTTCAAACCTACCAGCCTCTCCTTGGAAACCCTATACAGCGTCATTGTGAGTCCGAACCAACTCAATGGCACTTAACAACAACAACAGCAATGGCAGGTAGACTAGGATAGGAGTTCAGATGGAACAAAGTAGATAGACATTTAAAAATACCTAAACAAAAATAAACAAGTTTAAGGGATTCTGGGTCTATTTGTCTTTTCCTTTTGTCTTCTGAATGTTCTTAAATAGTTTTTTTTAAATCCAAAGAAAACCACTTTTCTGCTTTTTTTAACCACAGAAGAATGTCTCCGGATTCTAGAACATGCTCCCTTGTCCTGTTCCTTTTTCTGAGCCATACAATGGCAAGCTGGAGAGTCCCCAATCCCAGGCAGGGTAAGTCCTGAGGGGGGAACCACATACATGGTTTCTACACATGTTGGGGATACAGTGGGTTGGCACAGATCAATTTAGGTTCGTGATGCTTTAGACTGAAGGGGCAGGGAACCTTTATTCTGCCAAAATGTATAACATCATTGGTGGGCCATGCAAAATTATCGACTTAAAAATTAGCCAGCTGTATTTGGTCAAACATTTAATAAACTCACCCCCTGATGTGATGGCTGGAACTGCAGTTGCCTTGGCAGGGTCAGACCAAATGATTTCATGGGCCTTATACAGCCTACAGGCTAGACGTTTCCCACCCCTGCTTACAGTGGTTTTTTTTGGGGGTGTGAGTGTGCATTTGCGTACATGAAGAATTTTTAGGATTATTCTAAAAGGTTTTTTGGAGATAGGGTTTTTCCATACTGGGTACAGCTGGACACAGGTATGGTTAAAATTCACCAAAAGCTTCCATCATGAGTGGATTTTTTGGGCTCATTTCCTAACCCATATTTGTATTTTTGATGGTCACATTCAAATCTAGTTATACATTCAATGGCTTTCTTACAGATTTGCATCCATTATTACAAAAAATGGCAGTAAGTATTCCATTTTCTTTTGATCAAAATCCCCTCTACTGGAACATGCCAATTTTATGAATGTTATAATTGATGTTATCTGTGCCTTTTAGGAAGAAATAATAGAGGGAAACTATCTGAATGGTAATGTACCCACTCTGTTCTATTTGCTTCTTCCAAGAATTTCAAGCAGAATGCAGTTATGATCTCTCTGGAATGATTGCTTTTTAACTTGTCTTTGCCTTTGATTCCCATTGTAGCATTACTGGATCTCATACAATTTCAAAGGTAACTCATCCTAGAGGGGAGGGGAGGGGAGGGGAGGGCAGATGGGAGAGATTTTTAATAAAAATTCTTGATGGAACTTTCTTAATTGTAAAATGTCATACAATGAAGAAACTTCCATCATTGCACATGTGTGTTCAAGTAGACACATGTATTCTTCCTCCACTCTGTCATACCTTACTCTGGCAGCCATGCCTGCTGTAAGTACTCTATCCGTTTAAGCTCATCTGATCCTGCTGCTATTCCACTGTGCAGAATAATGAAGGTCACATAGCCAAGAGGTGGGGGAGCTGGTCTGTGCACAGAGCAGCCCGGCTCCAGGGTCCATTCCCTTCGCTGCCGTTCTGTTTACTGCATACCGCACACACTACCTGTGTTGGGCCCTGGGGACAGGCGCAGGGAGACAGCACTGTGCAACGACAAATATTGATAAGAATTCTAATATGATGAGTTCTCTGGTAGCGTAGTGGTTACGAATTGGGATGCAAACCTCAAGGTCAGCAGTTCGAAACTATCAGCTGTTCTCTGGGAGAAAGATGAGGCTTTCTGCTCCCGTAAAGATTTACAGCCTCGGAAACCCTTTACAGGGTCGCTATGAGTCAGAACTGACTCCACGGCACATAACCACCACTACCACCATGAAGGAGTAGAGATAGGGGTCATGAGGTCTCATGACAGGGATACCCCATTGTGTTAAGGTGAAAGATCTTTATAAATAGTATTCCAATGGATAGTTTTGGATATATTGTTTCAGATAAAATTTTTGTTAATGAATTATTTTATTCATTCATTTACTTATCTACAACAAAAATAAGGCTATAAAAGGCAATTGTTGTTGTTAAGTGCTGTCAAGTCAGTTCTGGCTCATAGTGACCCTGTATAGGGTTTCTAAGGAGCGGCTGGTGAGTCTGAACCTCCGACCTTGCAGTCCAGTGCATTCATCCACAGTATCACACCAGGACTCCTAAAAAGCAATTGTTGTTGTTGTTAAGTGCCATCAAGTTGATTCTGACCCATAGCAACCCTGTATAGGGTTTGCAAGGAGCAGCTGGTGAGCTTGAACCACTGACCTTGCAGTTCAAATGACTTTGCAGTCCGACGCATTAGCCCACAGTGCTAATCCAGGGCTCCAAATTAGCGACCATTTATTTCCTGTGTGCTACTCAGTGTTCAAGGCACTCTGGTAGCGTAGTGGTTACGAATTGGGCTGCGAACTGCAAGGTCCGCAGTTCGAAACTACCAGCTCTTCCGTGGGAGAAAGATGAGGCTTTCTGCTCCTGTAAAGATTTACAGCCTCGGAAACCCTGTACAGGGTCGCTATAGTTGGAGCCGATTCCATGGCACATAACAACAAGAAGTCAGTGTTCTAAGTACTTTACATAAGTGAACTGGTTAAATTCTCATTATCCATAGTTCATAGAAAGGAGACTTAAGCAAATATGCCTAAGTGGTAGAGCCAGGATTCAAACCCAGGTTGTGAGCCCACTCTCCTAACTGCACATGTCAGCCTCTCGTGGGATACATAGTGCCTGCCTTTTGAACTTAATATAGTAAAGACAGCTTTCTAAATCAGTAGGTTTGGATTTAAGCAGGCTCTTAGGGGAATTAGAATATTTCAGATATTTCAGAAATTGATCATCATCTTTGAGAGAGTGGAATCCAGGCAGAGTCGTAGGATTAGACACTTCCCTTCGTGGGGCCAGGTTAACAAATTTCCTGCTTCAAAGGGCAGAGCTCCTGGTATCCTTGGTTCATTCCCTCCATCCTCTCTGGACAGCTACTGTAGCTCTGCTTATAGGGGGACCACTTGTGATTTTTCTCTTTGCAGCTCTCACATGTGGACAGCAGGCCAGTCCCACAGAGTCCTGGCCTATCTGAATTCACAGAATGTTGCCTTCACCATCACCAGCCTGCAGGTGCGTACTTGAACTTCATCCCTCTGAATCCTGCTGAGTGCTCAGGGGTTGCAAACGTGGGCCAGGTAAGGTGGAGAAGTGGGCCGGGAGAGAAACCGACTTCACGCTCAGTCACAGTGGCTCACGTCTACTCTCAGTGACGTCACATTGGCCACTTGAAATCAATTCTGGTGGAAAAATTTGTTGTTGTTGTTGTTGTTGTTAAGAGCCATCGAGTCAATTCCGACCCATAGTGACCCTGTATAGGGTTTCCAAGGAGCAGCTGGTGAGCTTGAACCACCGACCTTGCAGCTCAAATGACTTTGCAGTCTGACGTGTAAACCCACAGCGCCACATGGGAATTAGTGAATTCTGCAGACTGGGGTTTGATGCAATGTTTTGTCGATTGTCTAGATTTAAGAACGTGATGGAGAAAGTGTTCATAATGTGTCTGTAGCCACTACATTGTGAAGCACCCAGAAAACTGAGGAGCTCTTTGTTCAGTATTAAAGAAGCAATTTTTATCTGAGCGATACACTAGTAATCATTGTCACTGAATTGTAAATGTGGAAGCAGAGTTAGCAATGTTTCGACGTGTGTATTTTCACCACAAAAAATGTAACAGTTTTCTGCTCCAACAAAGAAGTCACCTCATTGACAAACTAGTGAAGCGCGCGCTGATGGATGTCATTGTGTCTTCCATTTCTTCCTGCTCTTTAATGGAAACAAAAATATCAGCCAAAGGTCACATCAGAACTATAGTCACAGTGTTGGATGTTAGCCACTTACCAGGACACCGGGAATGGGAGGTGATGGATGACCTCGAGGCATCTGTATTTATGTACATCTGTCAGTCTGTGGTAGCACAAACAGGAGCATGTCCTCCCCTTTCCTTGTTAGCAATAAGGGTTCTATGAGATGTATACACTTTATTTATTAATTTTTATGTATTTATTATTTCTTTATTTATTTTAAAAAAATTTTAATTTATTTAAGGTTTTTATTGTGGAGTGAGTGAAAGCTTACAGGGCATATCATCAGTTTACATTCAACAAATCATACACCTTGTTTCATTACAATGATGACAATCACCTCCATGTACCATCAGTCAACAGTATTTCTCTCTATCCACTTCAGCTTTTTAAAAACAAACAAACAAAAAACCCACTCAGGCATATATAATAATTTACATCTCCAAAGGGCACATTCTGCAAGTCTGCTTCTGGCCACCAGATCTTAGTCCCTCTCTTCTTAGTCCAGGATTCTAGAGTCCTCAGCCGCTTCCCCATCTCCATGCCCCCATCTCTGCCTCCATCTCTGGCACTGCTGCTTCTCTGGATAAGGTCCCGCATTCTGCTTGTGCGTTCCTCTCTTGATAGTCCTAGGGTCCTCTGTTTCTGGACTGTAAGATTAACCACTCCCCTGTTTCTGTTACAAAACTTCTACCTTTACAATTGTGACAGTCACAATTAGTCATGATAACAATTATTCACTATTGAATCTTATGAATCTTATCCCCATCTCTTTTCACCAGACCCATCTAGACAAGATGACAGTTATTCAGTGGGGACTCTTTCTTCCCACCATACTCTTAAACTAAATTCCCTCTTGAAACCTTGTAAGCCAGTCACTTTGTGCCTTTATTGCCCCCTCATTTTAGGTAGCCAATGTCTAAGTTGCCCATCCCTATCTACCCTGTGTACAGAGGGGATACCATTGAAACTTGATTTGAAGACTGTTTCCCTCTCTGTTGGTATTTAGAGTAACTATCACTCTGAGTATAGGTCAGGTTCATCATGAAGATGTATCTTCTGTCACTGTAGCTGTTCCAGTCTGCTTGTCCTTTCTAGTGGGAATGTCCTTTCTAGTGGAGTGCAGGTCTGCTTCCAGCTTATTTGCCTCAGTCAATTGATCTCATTTCTGGACATGTGCAGATATGGTTGTCTGCTTCTGTTTTTTGGGCATCTTCAGGGGTTATCTGTGGCCTTAATACTTAGATGGGTGTGTATTTTGGTATTTCTTTATGCTTTCTGAATGCCTCCAGGTAGATGTGATCAGGAAATGGGCTTCCCTTTTCACTCTTCTTCTTGAGAAATTTCAAGATGCCACTGTTGGTCATTTTGATGTAACTTAGGATTTAATTTTCAGCCTATTTCCTCTTTTGTCTGCTTGTCCCACTCACAATCCCTGTTCAGGCCTTTTTTCTAGTTATAAACAGTTCAGAGCCGGCTGTGGCCGTTTGGTTTTAATTGGAAACTGTCTCTTTACATTTCGAGGAGGTCTGTGCGCATGCGTAGTAGAACCCTCCGAGGGTAGGGTTGGGGTAACTAGCTCAGGCACCCCTATAGTCACCAGAATGGAGGTGCGCAGACAGCAAGGGACCAATGAACAGATATCAAAAGAAAAGAATGTCCACACCTTTATCTCAGCGGTTCTGCCGGGTGTCTGTGGCTGCTCTGATTCTTCCCCCACGTGTTCTCACCCAAGATGGTGGCTCCTGGAGCAGCCGAGCGTACCGGACTAGAAAGCAATGGATTTCTTGCTCCTGCCACAAATTCCCCCAGCTGTGAGCCTTCCAACCTTCTAAATATTCCTTTATATGTGGTTCAGAGTTCTGGGACCATCCCCTGAGCCTGCTTGGTCGGGTATTCTGTGTTGTTGCTGACGGAGCTCCTCACTTCACTTCCACCTGATCCACCATTTTGTTTGTTCTCTGAGATGTATACACTTTAATCTGAGACACCTTCCTCTCTTTATAGAAACTTATGGCAAATCCATATGGGTCAGAGTAGAATTGCATCCCATAGGGTTTTCAGTGGCTGTGGTCTTTTGGAAAGAGATTGCCAAGTTTTTCTTATGTGGTACCACTAGGTGGTCCTGAACTGCCAACCTTTTGGTTACTAGCCAAGCACTTAGCCATTTGCACCACTCAGGGACAGCACATGTACACGCACACGCACGCACACACATGCATGTTTTTTTCATTGACATCTATACGTCTATGTATCTAGCATCTACTTTGTGCCAGGCATAGTTTCAGCCCATGGACTCAGTGGAGAACAAGACAGTCATGATTCCCACCCACATGCGCTGGCTTCATTCTAGTGGACAGTAAGTAAACAATTCCTCAGCTTATGGAGGACCCTTACTGAGCATTTACTGTATACCAGGCATGGTTGTAAACACTCGGCCCCTTCGCTTAATCCATTTTACAAACCTACATGGTAAGTCCTATTAGTACCCCTGTTTTCCAGATGTGGAAAACAGGCCTAGTGACGCTAGTGTAGATGTAACAGGAAAACAAAACAGGATACTCAGTAAATTAGAATTGTATATAAAAAAGGAATAAGTTTCTTAGGGCAAGTATGTGCCCTGTAATACTTTGGGCATGCTTATAATAAAAAGTTATTTGTTATTTATCTGAAATTCAAATTTAGCTGGGCATCCCGTATTTAATCTGGCAACCCTAGTTAAGTAATTTATCCAAAGACACACAGCTACAAAGTGGCAAGGCAGGGATTTGCACATGGTAATCTGGTCCTGGTGGCGCTGTAGGATAAGCACTGGACTGCAAGGTAGGTTTGAACCGTAAGGTGGTGGTTCAAACCTGCCAGCCACTCCTCGTAAACCCTATACAGGGTCGCCATGAGTCGGAACCAACTCTATGGTACCAAACAATAATGACGATCTGGCTCTGGTGTTCCTGGTGTAGTGCTATAGAAGCAGCCCTGGACTGTTCACTGCAAGGTCGGTGGTTCAAACCCAGCAGCTACTCCTCAGAAGCCCTAAATGGGGTTGCTATGAGTCAGAACTGACTAGATGGCACTTAACAACAACAATAACAATCTGGTTCTGGAAGAAAAGCCTGGCTATCTTGTTACAAAAAATTGACCAGTGAATACCGGATCCCATGGTGTGGGGAGTTGTCAGGAGTTGGGGGCCAACTTGATGGCAGCTGACAGCAAGAAGTCTAGTTCCAGGACCCACATCTTTCTCATCACACAACCCTATGCTTCTTAGAGCATCTTGTGTAAGGGAGATTTAGAAAACAATCCCCTCTTAAGATACGCCTGGAGGGGGCGTCATAGGCGCTGTGACCACGCTACAGGACTTTTACTTCTGTGTGTGACTCATGGGAAGAGTTTGATGCAGCGCCTATCTGGGATAGTGAGCTTTCTGGGAAGAGGCCAGCCGCTCTGGACTTGAAAACTCAGTTACCTACAGGACCAGGTAGGCCTTGTAATGGGGCACTCAGGCTGGTTGGCCTGTGGAGAGCTGGAGAGTAATTTCAGTGAGCAACTGCTTGTGGTCCCTCTGGTTAGCACCAGTTAGAAGAGTATGCACAGAGTTGACAGATCTTTGTATTTTCCAAGAGAAGTTAGAAATCCAGACTCAGTGATTTCAATCCCTGATTTGTAAATGTTGGCAGCTAGTGAAACATTTGAGGGCTGGCTGGAGGGAACATGTCTGTAGGATGCCAGTTTATGGTCTTTGCCTGGGCTGATAGCCATGGTGCTGCTGATCGTGAGCGTCTGTCTTTCTGTCCTGGCCAACTCCCCTGTCTTGGCACATCTAGGCAGCCGTGGAAAGTCACCTGGAGCAGCGTTTGTACCGGCCTCAGCAGCTGCTGGAGGACCTGAGGCAAACAGACGCTCCGCAGTTCCGCACAGCCATGAAGTGGCTCTTAGAAGACAAGAAGGACCGCTTGGTGAGATGTCCGTGGCCTCCTGGGAGCAGAGAAGTCCAGACCAGGGGTTATTTGTTGAATTGAATGAGTCTGTAGAAGACTTGTCCCTTATATATCCCTCTTTCCATTTTTCTCCCTGCCCAACCTCACTGGAATCCTCGGATTCTTGGTTCTGATATTTTCTCCAAAGCTCAAATATTCATATCAGTACTAAGAAATGAGAGGGACCTGAGGACCTCCCTGTAAACACCGATTCAGTAAACATTCATGAATAATGACTGTGCAACAGTAAGCACTGGATTCAGAGCAGAAAGACTGTCTTCCAGGAGCTTGCAGTCCACAAGGGAGACACTAACCAGACACGGATCTGCTTTATAAAATGAAGTTAGTCATTGCAAAGCAAAGCCTTGGGACCCAGAGGTCCTTGGGATCTGGAAGGTGAGGTTTGGAAAAAATTTTTTGTTGGAGACAGTTTAGACCACACTGTTTCCCCAAAGGAGTTGAGGCATATACACATTTTGATCATTATGCTTTTATTTTAATGTCAATTACTAAAATATAATGAACACTTTAAGCCAGTGAGTTTGGTGTTGTTGTTGTTAAATTCTGTCAAGTCGGTTCCGACCCATATCGAACCTGTATAAGGTTTCCGAGGAGCTGCTGGTGAGCTTCAATGGCTAATGTTGCATTTCAAACCGACTTTACAATCCAGTTCATTAACCCACTGCACCACACCAAGACTCTGAGATTGGTAGGGATATAATATTTTCCTTTGATGTGGATTTAAGTTGAAAAAATTTGTAATGAAGAATATGACATAAAAGTGAAGGCAGTGCTGACATATGGAAAAAGGTGGGATGGTGGTCTATGAGAAAGAGATGGGTTAATGTATGTTGAGGGTTTACCACAGTTAGGTCAGCACACTATTTTATAATGGACTCGAACACATGGTGATGCTCTAAGGTTCCCAAAGCTGTCATCTTTACTGATGCAGATTGTCCTTTATCCTAGGGAGTGGGTAGTAGGCTCTAACCACCCACCTGTTAGTGAGCGGTCATTCACTCCTTGTGAAAACCTGTTGCTGATGTTAGGTGCCATCTCGTCAGTTCTGAATCATCACGACCTATACCCAGCAGAATGAAACACTGCCTGGTCCTGTGCCATCCTCAGAACTGTTATGTTTGAGCCCACTCTTGCTGCCGATGTGTCAGTCCATCTGTTGGGGGCCATCCTCTTTTTCATTGACCCTCCACTTTACCTAGCATGATGTTCTTCTCCAACAACATACCCAAAGAACTAGAAATGAAGTTTTGCCATCCTGGATTCTAAAGAGCATTTTGGCTGTACTTCTTCCAAGACAGATTTGTTTGTTCTTCTGGTAGTCCGTGGTACATTCAATATTCTTGGCCAACACCAAAATGCAAATGGATTGATTCTTCTACAGTCTTCCTTATTCATTTTCCAACTTTCACATGCAATGACTGAAAATACCAAAATACTCTGAAATTTTCAGATGCACTTTAATCCTCAGATTGACATCGTTGCTCTTGAACGCCTTAAAGAGATATACCTAATGTAATATGTCGTTTGTTGTACTGACTCCTGTTTCTTTGAGCATTTACTGTGGATCCAAGCGAAATGAAGTCTTTGCCAACTTGAATCTTTTCTCTGTTTATCATCTGTTGATCATGATGTTATTTATTGGCCCAGTCCTGAGAGTTTTTGTTTTCTTTACATTGAGGTACACTGCATACTGAAGGCTGCAGTCTTTGATCTTCAGCAGTAAGCTTTAAAAGCCCTCTTTTCTTTTAACAAGCCAGGTTGTGTCATCTGCATATCACAGGTTGTGAATGAGTCTTCCTCCAAACCTGATGCTACATTCTTCAGATAATCCAGCATCTGAAACTACATGCTTAGATAGAAATTCAATGTTGTGGTTGTTGTTAGGTGCCATCTAGTGGGTTCTGGTTTATAGCAACCCCATGCGCAACAGAACAAAACACTGTTTGGTCTTATGCCATGCCCACAATTGTTTCGGTTGGTCTTCCTGTTTTTTGCTGACCCTCCACTTTACCTTGATCTTTCCTGATAATACGTTCAAAGCATGAGAGCCGATATCTCGCCACCCTGGCTTCTAAGGAGCATTCTAGCCATACTTCTTCCAACACAGATTTTTTTTGTCCTTCTGATAGTCATTGGTACCTTCAGTATTCTTGTATGCCACCGTAACTCAAATGCATCAATTCTTCTATGGTCTTCCTTATTCATTGTTCAACTTTCATATGCATATGAGGCGATTAAAAACACTATGATTTGGGTTAGGTGCACCTTAGTCCTCACATTGATATCTTTGCTCTTGAATACAGTAGATTTGCTTAAAATAAAATGTGATTTGATTTCTTGATTGCTGTTCCATGAGCAACTGGTTGTGGATCCAAGCAAAATGAAGTCTTTGACAGCTTCAATCTTTTCTCCATTTATAATGATGTCATTTATTGGCCCAGTACTGAGGGGTTTTGTTTGCTCTGCATTGAGGTGCAATTTGTACTGAAGACTGTAGTCTGTAATCTTCATCAGTAACTATTTTAAGTCCTCTTCGCTTTCAGCAAGCAAGGTTGCGTCATCTGCATATCACAGGTTGTTAATGAGTCTTACTCCAATCCTGATGCCACATTTTTCTTCATAGAATCCAGCTTCCCGGATTATGTGCTCAGCGTACAGATGGACTAAGTATGGTGAAGGGATATACAACCTTGGTGCATACCATTCCTGATTTTAAACCATTCAGTCTCCCTTTATTCTGTCTGAATAACTGCTTCTTGGTCTATGTGCAGGTACTGTCTGAGCACGATTCATTGTTCTGGAACACTCCTTCTTCACAGTGGTGTCTGTAGTTTGTTATGAGCCACACAGTTTAATGCACACATAAACATTTTTCTGATTTTAGCCAAGATCTTTGTGATGTCAGGAATGATACCTTTTTTTCCATATCCTCTTCTGAATCTGACAACTCCCTGCTGCAACCATTCTTGAATTGTCTTCAGCAGAATTTTACTTGCATGTGATATTAAGTTATTGTTTCATGATTTTTGCATTCCGTTGGGTCACCTTTCTTTGGAAGGGTCACACATATGGATCTTTCCCAACTGGTTGGCTAGGTAGCTGTTTTCCAAATTTCTTGACCTAGGTAAGTGAGCGTCTCCAGCGCTTCATCAGTTTGCTGAAACACTTCAATCGATAATTCATCTATTCCTGGAGCCCTGATTATTGCCAGTGCCCTCGGTGCAGCTTGGACTTCTTCCTTCTGTGCTATTGGTTCTGAATTATATGCTTCCTCTTGCATATCATTACTGGTTAAGCATCGACCAATTTTTCTTCTTCTTTTTTATTTTTTAACTTTTTATTGTGAATTGAGTGAAGGTTTCCAGACAAAGATCATCAGCTTTACATTCAACAAATCACACACTTTGTTTCATCTCAATGATTGCAACCCCTTCCACGCAATAGCAGTTATCCTGCTTCCACCCACCTTCCCATCCCTTCTCAACTTCGTCCTTAGGCAAATGTTGCCTTTGATTTCACCAATCAGTTCTATTTGGAATAGTAAATATGTATATTTCTTCCATCTTGTTTGATGCTTCCTGAGTCAGTCAATGTGTTGTCCAGTGAATCTTTCAATATTACAAGTCAAGGCTTGAATTTTTCTTCAGTTCTTCCAGTTAGAGAAATGCTGAGCGTGTTCTTCCCTTTGGGTTTTCTAACGGCAAGTCTGCTTTTTTCACTAGTGTTTCACTTTGTCTTCTTGAGCTGCCCTTTGAAATTTTCTGCTCAGCTCTTTCATTTCCTCATTTCTTCTGTTTGCTTTAGCTTCACTATGCTCAAACAAAAGTTTTAGAGTCTCCTTTGGCATCCGTTTTCCTCTTTTCTTTCTTTCCTGCTTTTTTAATGACCTTTTGTTTCTTCCTATATGATATTCTTGATCTCATCTCATAACTCTTCTGGTTTTTGGTTATCAGTGTCTAATGCATCAACTCTGTACTTGAGGTGATTTCTAATTTCAGTGGGATGTGTTCAAGGTCATGATTTTGGCTCTTGTGGATTTGTTTTCATTTTCTTCAGCTTCAGCCTAAACTCGCACATAACCAATTGATGGTCTGTTTCAAAAGGATGTCGGAAAAGACTGAAACTTGCTCGTGAGCATCGGGAAGCCAAAGAAGCAAATGGAAGAAATGAGGAAGTAAAAGAGCTGATTAGAAAATTTCAATGAGCAGCTCTTGAAGAAAAGTTCAAGTATTGTAATGAAATGTGCAAAGAAGTGGAGTTAGAAAACCAAAAGCAAAGAACACACTCAGCATTTCTCAAGCGGCAGAAAAAAAATTCAAGCCTTGGGTTACATTATTGAAGGATTCAATAGGCAAAATATTGAATGATGTTGGAAGTATTAAAAGAAGATAGAAGGAATACACAGCATCACTGTACCAAAAAGAATTGGTCCATGTTCAGTCATTAAGAATTGATGGTATTTAAGGCAGAAGTACAAGCAGCATTGAAGGTCTTGGTGAAAAACAAATCTCCAGCAGTTGATGGAATAGAAATTGAAATGTTTCAGCAAACTGATGCCACACTGGAGGCGCTCACTCGTCTATGCCAAGAAATATGGAAAAGAGCTACCTGACCAACTAGTTGTTGTGCCCATATTTGTTCCCATTCCAAAGGTGACCCAAAAGAATGCAGAAATTGTTGAACCACAAACTAACTGAAAGGTTGGTGGTTCAAACCCACCCAGAGAAGAAAGGTCTGTGGTCTTCTGAGAGGTCACAGCTATTGGCGAACCCGTGGAATCCAGTTCTACTTACTCTGGGACACATGGAATCAACCTGAAGGCAATTGGTTTGTTTTGTTTTTTGGTTTTGGATTTCTCTAGAAGGAGATGGAAAATGCCTTCCTGTGAGAGCAGAGGCATTAAGTGTAACAGCCAAAGTGTGTCTGGATGGTGAGAAATCACCTAATGTGGGTGGAAGAGGTGATGGAGAGTTCTAGAAGATCGTACATAGCAGCATGGTGTTAAACCAATGAAACCAAACCTACTACCATCGAGGTGATTCTGACTCATAGCCAACTTAGATCGTTAAACAGTAGCTCTCCATTTCCCCACAGCGACAGAGCATGCTCTCTCTGAGGGCTTCCAAATTGAGAACCAGCTCTCAGACAACCCTGGCATCTCTCATTCCTGCAGGAACTGGATGACATTGTCATTGACCTTGGAGAGCTTCGGGAAGGAGCCTTGCAGAGCCCTGGTGTGAACCGCAGCCTGTTTCTGGTCACACTGGAGAGGTGTTTTCAGGTTCTAAATGCCCTGGAGTGTGTGGAGATCCTGGGCAAGATGCTGAGGGGCTCCTCAGGCAGTTTGCTGCAGCCAGACATCACACAGAGGCTGCCCCGGGATCTTCGCGAGGACGCCTTTAAGAACCTGTGAGTACAGGTTCCAACCCTCTTAACTCCCTGCCCTAACTCACAGCAACCTTGTGAGAATTCAAGGGGGAGCAGACAGATGGGGATAGGTTCAGATGTGAAGTCTGGAGTAGAAGTTTAAAATTTGTTTTATGACATGATTTGATAAAAACAATGTCTCCCAAATGTTACTCCCTCGTGTTCAATCCTCACAGTTTTAGCCATAGCTGAGCCCTGGTAATGCCGTGGTGAAGCCCTGGGCCAGTCATTAAAACTCACCAGTGACTTTGTGGGAGGAGAGACTTGGCAATCTGTCCCCTTAAAGAGTCCATGCAACCTAGGGAACCCTATGGGGGCGGTTCTTCTCTGTCCTGGAAGGTCACTATGAGTTGGAATCAACTCAGCGACGCATTACAATATCAACACTAGGCACTGCTTTACATTAATACTGCTTTTCTTTATATGGACTCTTTTACTTGAAATAATTATTTAAGATGTAAAGTTGATATCATCACTATAAACGGGAAACCAGTATTATTTGTAGCCATAAAAGTTAATACGATGGAAACGAAAATGTCACTACATTGTAGTTGTGTTTCCTGGCTAAGGCTTGGAGTGGAGGGCTTATTCTCGTACTTAACAAAGGAGATTTGCTGTCGTTGTTTGACTCTGACTAGACTGTGCTTCATAGTGACCTTATGGACAACAGGACACAGTGTCTGCTCCCGCACTGTCTTCGTCATCAGGGCCCTGTTTGAGTCCATTGTTTGGCCACTGGATCGATCCCTCTCACCGAGGGCCTCCTTCACCTCCACAGAGTCTCCACTGTACCAATCATGATGTCCATTTTAAGTGACTGGCCTTTCTTGGGGATGTGTCTAAAGTCTCACCATCCTTGCTTCTAATCAGCATCCTGGTTGTATTTCTTCTGAGATTCATTTGTCCGTTCCCCTGGCAGTCCACAGTATATTCAATATTCTTAGCCAACACCACAACTGGAAGGAGATTAGCATATGCCGAAAACCTCTGGAGTCTCTGAGTGGTGCAATTGCTTTATGCTCTTGACTGCTAACCACCCAGAGATGAGTCAGAAGAAAGGTCTAGTGATCTAGCTTCCCAAAGTCAACCATTGAAAACTCTAAGGAGCATAGCTCTACTCTGACACACAAGAGGTCACCGTGAGTTAGAGTGGATCCTATGGCAGCTCTTTGGGTTTAGTAAAGACATACTGTTGTTAGGAGAAGGATGTAGGAAGTTGGTTTGGACTCATAGTGACTCTGCCAACAGAACAGAACACCGCCTGATCCGGCGCCACTCGTGAAAGCATTCTGTTTGAGCATGTTGTTGTTAATTCATCTCGTTGATGGTTTTCCCTTTATTGCTGACCCTCTGCTTTACCAAGCATGATACCCTGCTCCAGAGACCAGTCCCTTCATCACTAAACTGAGACAGTCTCCTTGAGGGAAAGTAGAAGGGCTGCCAACCCCCCTCCCCACAAGGAGTAATTTTCTCCTTCTCAGAGAGCAGGCTAGGTAATAATGTTTGTTAGCACCCAGTCTCATATACAATTGCACTTGGGGAGATCACCTAATTAGAGTATTTATCTAATTAGGTGACCTCCCCAAGTATAATTAGAGTATTTATCTAATTAGGTGACCTCCCCAAGTGTATATGTGTATGGGTGCTAACAAACATTATTATCTAGCCTGCTCTCTTAGAAGGAGAAAATGACTCCTTTTTGAAAGGAGCTCTGATAGTGTAGTGGTTACAAATTGGGGCTGCTAACCTCAGGGTCAGCAGTTCGAAACTACCAGCTGTTCCGCGGGAGAAAGAGGAGGCTTTCTGCTTCCATAAAGATTTACAGCCTTGGAAACCCTGTGCAGTGTGTCTATGAGTAGGAACTGACTCCACGGTACATAACAACACCAATCTAGGATTTGAAGGGCTGTAGGCTCACTTTGGAGTTCTGGTGTGGCTCTATGGGCTAATGCGTCAGACTGCAAAGTTATTTGAACTGCAAGGTCAGTGGTTCAAGCTCACCAGCTGCTCCTTGGAAGCCCTATACAGGGTCGCTATGGGTCGGAATTGACTCGAAAGCAGTTAACAACAACAACAGGCTCACTTTGGGTCAGCAGTGACTCGATGGCATTTAACAACAAGAAGGCATTGTTGCCATGTCTAATTCTTTTACGGTGGTGGTTGTGTGCCACATCAGTGCCAATTTATAGTGCCCTGTACAGGGTTTCCAAGGCTGGAAACCTTTATGGGAGCAAGAAAGCCTCATCTTTCTCCCATGGAGCAGCTGGTAGATTTGAACTGCTGACCTTGCGGTTAGTAGCCCAGCTCATAACCCACTGTGCGACCTGGTGTGGCGCTGTGGGATAAAGCACTGGACTGCAAAGTCGGTTTGAACTACAAGGTCAGCAGTTCAAACTCATCAGCTACTCCTTGGAAACCCTATACAGGGTCACTATGGATTGGAACCGACTCCCCAGCACTTAACAACAACTGGCGCTGTTACCACCCAACTCTCTCTTTTTACTAATTGTAGCCTTTAGGGCCTTAAGATCAGTTTAGGGATGATTTAGGAGCAGGAACAGACCAACTTATCCACAGTGACTTGGCGATGCTATTTTCTATTTTTTCTGCCAAAGGACTGCAGGAGAAACAGACAATGCACTGACCCAATGTTGTCCTCTTTTTGGACAAGACGTATATCCCATGAAGCTCCTTGGCTTTGTAGTCCATGGCACAGTCCCTTCTAATTCCAGCATTCCTCCCACCCCATCCACTCAGAACATGATTCAGAGGGACCGTTTATTGACCATGGTGCATCTGGATGGATCCCAAAAGGGAATTATTGGATCATGTAATCAAATAGTTTAGGTGTAGGACTGAATTCAGGTACAGCTGATTCTATTATTCTATTTCTATTAAGTATTGTCCAGTTGGTTCTGACTCATAGTGGCCCTGTATAGGGTTTCCGAGGCTGTAATTCTTTGTGGGCACTACTGGTGGGCTGAGACCAGCTGCCTTGTGGTTCACAGTCCAGTGCTTATTATACTGAGTCATCACACTCTCCTGCTGGATCTAGAGGGTCCAATGATGCCATGAGAACATCTTTGGCTCAGGCAGACAGATGTGGCGGCATAGGCAGTTCCAGGCTTACCTCCTAAGTGTGTCAGGCGTCTCTTCCTAACAGCTCCAAACAGTTCTCTAGAGCTGATTCTCATCGGTTCAGACAGGCACTGTGCCCATCCTTGAGTTAGTCACTGTTGCTAAGGGAGCTAATGAGCTGAATGGCTCAGATGTGGGTCACAACCTCAACCAATCATGGACCAGGAATGGGAGTAGTGTGGTTTCCCCAGGAAGAACTGAAGTTGTCATGAGAGATGGGGCGTGGAAGTAAACTCCACAAAGGTCCACTGCGCCAGCTAACTTTATGTAGACCCCGAATAAGAAGCAGGGGATAGTGTCCAGCCTTGTGGGCAAAATGATAATAGAAAAACACAGATGTAACTTTGCCTGACTCTAGATTTCCAGCTCCTGAATGGGGAATCTGGAATATATCCCTATTTTCCCTGAAGCCAGCCTAATGGCTTTCTTAGATGAAGAAACTCAGGCTTGGCATCCCTGAGGTGACTGGGCCTCATGGAACTTGACTTAATCTCAACTCAACTCAGGTTGTCTGAATTCTAGTCCTTGTCTCATTCCACTCTACCCTTTCATCCCTCTTCTCCTCATGATAAAGACACCATTCATCTCCTGCCCATTTTCCAGACAAGGAAACAGAGGCACAGAGAGATGAACTAACTTGTCCTTGGCCAGACTAGTAGGTGATGATAGAGTTAGGAAGTTTGTAAATGGGCAGATTGTTTCCTGAAGTTTGCCTTTTGGAAATCTTAAAGTAGCTTATCTGTACTCTTTCACCTACTCTTGCCAAAAATAAAGAAAAAACAATTAGAGAAGGAAGTTTGCCTATTTACAAGTGAGGGGTTTAAGTTTAGGAAAGGTCTGTGGATGGTCCCTTGGAGCATTGTTTCCCATGGTGGATGGAGTACACATGAGGAAGACTTCTAGGATGAGGAGACTCAATTGCATTTTGAAGGGTGGGTTAAGGGGCTCATCAGGGCAAATGCTGCTGAAAGGTCAAGTCATATTGGGACTAACTGAGATCTCTGGTTTTGACAACAAGGAGGTCATGGGTGACTTGGACCATAGGAGTAGTGTGTAATAGGGAAGCCACATTGCAGTTACTTAAGAAGTGACTAAGAGGTAAGGAAGTGGAGACAATATGTATAGGCCACACTTTGGAAGGTATTTGTGAAGAGAGAGAAAAAATGGGGAGATAGTACCACATAGCACTGTTTTGGTGCCTAACCTGAAAACACTTTGGAACAAGGTCTACCTGTTTGTTCCTTAATTGACACCTGTGTTTTTGTCATTTAGATCTGCGGTGTTCAGAGATGTCTATGACCAAACCTCAGCTCATTCCCAGAGAGCTCTCTACTCCTGGATGACCGGGATTTTGCAGACATCGTCCAACATCACTGGTAAGTCCCTTCTTAAATGTGGGGTGACCCTTTGGAACAGTCTGTCTTCAAAAGAAGTGCTGCATCTTTGTCTCTTATAATTTTTAGTCCCAATTGTGTCCTGATATGGCTTTGTAGGATAAGCACTAGACTGCCAGCTGTTCAAACTCACCAGCTGCTCCTCAGAAACCCTATCTATACAAGGTCTGACTCGACTGGCATCCTTTTGGCTTTGTGAACCATACAATCTCTGTCGCAGCTATTCAGCTCTGACATTGTAGCTGCAACACAGCCATAGACAATACATGAATGGGCCTGGCTGTGTTCCCATAAAACTTTATTTATAAACACTGAAATTTGAATTTCACATGTCACAAAATATTATTCTCTTGATTTTTCTTTCAATGAGTTAAGCATGTGCTATGAATTGAATTGTGTCTTCCAAAAATATGTGTTGTAAATCCTAACCCCTAGTCCTGGTATGGTGCTGTACAGAGCACTGGACTGCTAACTGCAAGTTTGGTGGTTCAAACCCACCAGCCGCTCCTAGGAACCCCTATTGTTTTTAAACGCTGTCGAGTCAGTTCTGACTCTTAGTGATCCTGGACAGGGTTTCTGAGGAATGGCTGGTGGATTTGAACTGTCAACTTTGTGGTTTGAAGCCCAGTGCTGATCCTACTGGGCCACCCCAGGAGTCCTCCCTATGAATAGAAATCTAGTTAGAACCCCTATACTGGCTCCTTATGAGTGGGAACCTACTTAACACTTAACAACAATAACATGGGGTTGTAATCCTGTTGGGAGTACGGTTTCTTCTCATGTTAATAAAACATTATCAGTGTAGACTGTGTCTTAAATCAGTGTCTTGAGAAACAAAGGAGCAGATTAAGCAAACAAGCAAGAAAGTAAGCGCCAACAGAGGGGAAGAGACACGTCACATGATCATCAAGGAACCCAGGAACAGAAATGGAACAAGATAAGGACCCTTCCCCAATGTGGACAGAGAGAGACACAGGGCCATTCCAGGCTGGTGCCCTAAATTTGGACTTCCAGCCTTCTAAACCATGTGAAGATACATTTTTGTTCATTAATGTCAGCCACTTGTGGTATTTCAGCCACAGCACTAGATGATTGTTGTTGGTGGGTATGTGCCGTGGAATTGGTTTCGACTCATAGCAACCCTGCATAGGGTTCCGAGGCTGTAAATCTTTATGGGAGCAGAATGCCTCATCTTTCTCCTGTGGAGTAACTGGTAGATTCGAACTGCCAATCTTGTAGTTAGAAGTTCAACTTGTAACCCTTTACGCTACCAGAGCTGCACTAGGTAGCTAAGATAAAATACAAAAAATGCAAAAAAAAAAACATTCTTAGCTTTCGGGCTGTACAGAAATAGGTAGTAGACCAGGTTTGGCCGATGGACTGTAGTTTGCTGACCCATGGACTAATGAATCAGGGAAGACTTCCCTGGGGAGGTAGTATTTAAATGGAGACCCAAATTTAGGCTCCTTGTGAGTCTCTGGAGGACTTTTCCAGCAGAGGGACAAGCACGGACTCTGAGGTAGGAATGTGCTAGGGAAACTTCAGGTGGTTACAGTGTAAGGAGGATACATCAGGAATGCTAAGCAATGTAACAATCAGCATTTGCAGTATGGAGCAGAACTCCCTTCACCTGGTGCATAAGTGCGGCCCTCAGGAATCAGCGTGAGTATCACATTGTACCGCCCTGAAGAGGTCACTCAACTTCCTAGTCCTGATGCTGTGTTGTTGTTAAGCGCCATCTCACTGTGACCCTGTATGGGATTTCGGAGACTCTGCATCTTTGTGGGAGCAGAAAGCCTCATCTTTCTCCTGATCAGTCCTGATGTTGTTGTTGTTATGTGCCGTGGAGTCGGTTCCGACGCATAGCGACCCTGTACAGGGTTTCCTAGGCTGTAAATCTTTATGGGAGCAGAAAGCCTCATCTTTCTCCCATGTAACGGCTGGTAGTTTCGAACTGCTGACCATGAGATTAGCAGCCTGAT